AAAGCTTTGTTTATCATAATAAAGATTTACAGACTAATAAAAACATGAACTAGTCTTTGTCTAACCAACTAGAGTTCTCAAACAAAATTTATTGGAAATCCAAAGGACCTTGGATAGCAAAGACAATTTTTAAAAGGAAATTATTATAGGACTTACACTCTCAGATTACTAGACTTCTTATAAAGCTATAATAAGACAGTGTTATATTGGCATAGGAATATTCAAATAAGCATAAAGTTTTAAGAAACAGCTTCACACATACTAAGTCATTTAATTTATAAAGATGTCAGTGCCAGTCAATGGCGAATGGGTGGTCTTTTCAATCAGTGACACCAGAAATTTAAATAGAAATAAGAAAATAATAAATCTCTTATGATTCACCATAATAAAAAAGAAATGCAAATTTCTATTGTTGCAAAAGAGAAAGGTAAGCAATAATACTTCTGGAAGAGAACATAGGGATGGGGCCTCCCCGGTGGTGGAGCAGTTAAGCGCTGGGTTGCTAAGCTGCCCGCAGCCTCTGCAGCACCGGTTTGATCAATTCCCGGCTGCTCCCCGCTCTGGCTCTGGTGAATTCTCTCACCTTTCCACGCTTCTAACTGTACCCAGTGCTTGTATAAATAAATAAATAAATCTTAAAAAAAATAAGAGAGAGAGAACATAGGGATGTATCTTTACAATGTTAGAATAGGCAAAGATTCCTTAAAAAAGACACAAAAATGAAATTGCTCACTAAACAACATTAAATTAAGAATATCTATTCATCAAAATTATCATTAACAGACTTAATAAGTAGATATTTTCAAATAAAATATCCATAAGTATACTCCCAATGGAATTAAACTCAGAATATGTAAAGAACCTTCACTAAACTACAATAAAAAGAAATTTAGTTTAAAAAATATATTGCCAAAAGACTGACCACTCATTTTATAAAAAGAGATGTTCAAAGGTCAATAAGCACATGAAAAACTTCTCATATGTATTATCAATGAAACAAAAATTACAAGCACAAAATGACGACCTTTTGGAGGAGGTCGCTGAGTGGAAATGATCTCCCGTTACCCTCAAGCTGAAATTCAGTGACTTCTTCCTCCTCCTTCATCCCCATCCTTGGAATGTAAGTTCTTTCTGGCCCCCCTATACTGAAAGTCTCCTCAAGCATGCAGCCTTGAGTGAATAGTGTGTTAAATAAGACTTTCTGGAGTGTATATGTGACTGAACCCCATTAAGGCAAAGAAAACACTTAAGATGTAGACAAAGAAATGTGAAGATTTATTCCTCCCGCAGTCACCCAAGGCAAGCATCCTTTCTAAGTTCTTTCGTAATGGATGTGGTATAGCATCAATACCCAGAGGGGATAACCTGTGCCTCACAATTATATGCAATGCTGTAAACCAATGTTATCAATAATAAGAATATTAATAACCGATACTGGCCAACACAGCATACTGTTTCTCTCAGTGTCTCCTTATTGTCCATGTGTGGGGTCCAGTTTTGAATTTCACCAGGGAATTCTTGAGGATACAGACCAACAAATGGCAAGCTGGCTAGGAGACCTAAAAAATGGATCTTGGGAAAGAGGCAGCTGTGAAGGAAATGGAGGGAAGACCATTGTCACCCCAGTTAGATGCTCGTGGACTGCAGTGTGAGCAGAGGGACACCTGAAATGCTAGCTGATGTAACAAATTTACAGACAGTGAGCTACAGCATAGGAGGGAAGAGAAAGGCTACCACAGTGGGCTGGCCTCTACTGTAGGCAGTTTGGGGCCATCAGTGCCCAACTACAAAGTGAAGTGAGCTAAAGAATTGGAAAAAGAAAGGTTAGACAATATTTTGCAGGTGTCCCCGACTTTCTGAGCTTCAAGGCTCGCAGAAAAGGTGGAAGAGCAGGCTATCAAATTGAAGATCTTAGCATGAAGTTTTCCAAACCTAGGAGGCTGCAAACTGCCAGTAATAAAGGTCCCAGCACTTGTGCAATCTGATTGAGCCACTAAGAGACAGAATAGATTACATAGACATAATGTTGGTTATCTCTGCAGTAAGGCACACTGGAATGGAACACAGCATGAGGGCATCTTCTGGAGTTCTGTATCTTAATCTGGGTAGTGGTTAGATAGGTGTATTTATATGTAAAAATCAAAAGTTAAAATTACCCTGTCATACAATTAAAATTAATGCAATTACCTATACAGATGTGCACTCTAATGTTAAATAAACACACCTACACACACACTCAAAAATAGGTATGAGCAGAGACTTTAAAAATATGGAAAGGGTCCTCCCTGGTGCTAGGGGTTAAGACATAGCACTATGAAGCTATCCACAGCCACTGCTGCACAAGTTCGATCCCCAGCCAGGGAGGTGGCCCACACGGCTCAGCAGACCTCTCCTGTCTCACCCACTGCTCCCTGCAGCTATGTATTTAAGTCAATCTGCCTGTTCTGTTCCCCACTCTGTCTCTCACTCCCCCACACCTCTGGCCTGTACCCCAGTTCTTGTATGCATAAATTTATTTAAAAATAAATAAAAACATGGAAAAGAAAGTCATTACTTTTGGCTGTGGAAACTTGATATAGGAGTAGCTGAAGAGAAACCCAGCTAAATCTCCCATCCTATCACATACTTCATGACAAAGACTGAGGATAGGGAACTATGACAAACCCTCAGTCTGGTCAGTTTTTTTACGCTGGTACGTAATGATACTCTTCTGTTTTCTTCATGCTTTGTGAGGCTTTGCTGACAAGACCATGAATCCTTTAAAATTAATACCCTTACATGATTAATTGCTTTTGAAAATAGATTTTTAAGGAAAATGTGTTTTTTCCCTAATAATTAATAACTTTAGCCCATACACTAGTATTCTTAAGTGTTTTTTCCTTCAAATAATGAGACATCTAGCTGTTAATATGGATGTGGCTTTCACACAGGAATTTGGTGCAGATTTTATCACATTACTAAGCTCTATTTTTCATGATGCCTACCATTCTTCCATCTATTTGCATATTGGTAACATCTCTTCATAAATGCCTTAGTAGGTTAGTTTGCTGCATTCTTAACTATTCAGTACTAACAGATTCCTAATTAAGTTATATAAATGAATATTTGATATGAAAATTAGAACCTATGTACAAAAACGAAAATAAAAGAAAGAGATAATGCATTACTCTTATTAAGTTTATATTTTTTTTTCTAAGTATATCTGTGTAAGAAAAATTTTAGCCCCATGAATTTTAAAGTACAATACATTGAATTTCTTGGATATATGTAAAATTTGCACTTCTATATCATCTAAGACATATATAAATAATATATCTTCCTTTGAGACAATCTAAGCAAAAGGTTTTGGATGATGAAACAGTTTTAATAAGATAATTAAGGCCATAAATACAATTTAAAGTATTATTATTCTTTTCTTTTAAAACATTAGTTCTATCTGTTCATAATATATGATAAATAGAAGAATAAAAAATAAATTTGTAATCTGCAAGTTACTTCAAAACTTATAAACTCAATCTGATTGCTTAGAAAAAATAATTAATCAAATGAAATATAATTTATGTTCAGTTTTGTGAGGCAAAATAAATTCATGCATCCAAAATAATTAAGTATTAACGTTTAAAATATTTTTCTATTTGTTCTACTTGTATCCTTATCTCTAAAACATTTCCTCTTCCAATAATAACTTTTAAATGATATTAATATAGCATTAATTCCTAACATTTATCATATCTGTCTATGGCTAAGTGAATGATCTTGCCAAAAAATAGAAATTAAGTGAATTTTATGTGAGCAGTGACTTAAAGGAATCTAGATTTTGAAACATTCACTAACTACTAGTATAACATTCAAATTCCATGAGATATTACTCTTGCTTCTCCTTTGAAGTTCTTGTTCTAATGAGTACAGTGTTCATAAAAAGTAGAGAAGTAATTCAAGGTTATCAGCTTAAAGTGGAAGAGCAGGTAGGCCTGGAGATCTATAATCAAAATGAGGGTAAAATAGTAGGCTGAACTTTTACACTGAACTTCACCTCACTAATTTTCACTCAAACAATCTGTACACCCAAAAATGATATTTTTATTAAACATTATGACCATGTCATTTTATCTAAAAATCGTCAATGTCTTTCCTTAATCTGAGGATCAAGTTCAAAATCTTCAAGTGTCTTGTATTATTTGGTTCATGTCGACCACAACCCATGTTTACATGCTCTGTAGTTTTTTTCAGAAATAAAGACTGAGAACCTGATCACTGAATGAAGGAAAATAATTAGAGCAAAATACCACATGTTCCTAACAATAACAAATAAAGTGGTTTGCAATGTGTTATTGGCCTGACCAGAAAGAGCTCTTCTTCTCATAAAAGTTTAAAGTATGCCTAATTTGTGGGACTTCTGGAATTATTTCATTGATATGAAACAATTATGCTTTACCTATTTCCAAAGTTCTTCTGCCAATAAACCAATGTATTAAACAGTGAATGTTACTTATTGTCTGGGGTTACCATCTTCTTAAAATGAATAATTGCTTTTGAAATATATGCTGGTGCCCCTTCAGCAGATTTGGGATTTTTTATTTCTATAGACCATTGATATTATCACATAGCCAATAAAAGATGTTAAATGTAAGCAAACATTTTGGGCATGCTCAATGCTCATCATCAATTTTCTTGAGATATGGGGTCATTGGTAATTAATATTGTATATAATAAGCAATTATATTTTGGCTCATTTGCATTATTACAAAAATAAACACATTTTTTTAAAGTCTTGGTTTTACATCAAACAACATATTGCAAATCATTGTAGCAGGAACATTCAGAATCATACTCTAAAGTTGGGGACTTGGCCTCTGTTACTTATATTTTATATACCTAACCCATAATTTCCCATTGATGCTAACTGCTTGCATAGAGCTCTTGTACCTTACAGACTGTAAGATGTATTATAGCTCAACTTACTGTCAGGATCCCAGAGAATCTTGTTCTTAATGCTTTTTCATGCTGTCCACGAAAAGAGGTGCTGTTATCTCATGCCTCAAAAGAGAAAAAGAAACAGGTTGTTGTGGGCTTTCAGTTTTACATGAATTTTAAAGTGAAAAACTGCACTGCATGTTCATTTCATATATTCCTAGAAAATATTATGACAAAAACAGGACAAAGTGCTGCCAATCAATTGTAAGTGAGCATATATAAATCCACTCTTAATAATGGTACTTAATTAAAAGGAGCAAACTTTGGGATAGAGACTATGAGATGAAATTCCAGGATAAGAGTCATAATCAAGAAGAGGTGCTTTGTTAACTGTGATCATGAAAGGTTCCTTAGAAGAGATGACACTAAATTTGGGATTTAAAAGATGAAGTATTTAAAATGGGAGTACAGGTACTACAGCAGAGAGGATAGCTGTAGCAAAAACTCATCATCTATTTTATTCTGAACAAGTAAACCAATTTTCATGCTCTCTGTAACAATAATGCAAAACTCAAGAATGTCCTAAAGTACACTAGCACTTCCCATACAATTAAAATCTTCAGTATAATTTCTTGGTGAATCCCACTGGTGGTAAAAGATAATTTTTGCATGTGAACACAGTTAATTAAAAAATTAAATCACATCCTGAAACAAGTACTATCTTCACCCTCTCTAATTACTTCAAAAAAAATTTTCATTTTGTTGTTTATTTGTCTTTAACACCCTCTTAGATTTGGTAGGAAGTAATACTTTTCTGGCAACATGTTAATAATTGTAAACAAACCAAAAATTTAATATAGTTTATTTATTTAAATAAATTTAATATATATGATTTACTACTATTTATTTATTAAATACTCCGTTATTTACTACTAACGGAGATTGATGCTTTTCCTTAAAAGACATGACAAATTCTTTTAAATAAGTCACATTAAGCAAATAAAGAAAGGAAGTTGATTGAAATACAATATTTAGCAAATGACAGTTAACACAGTTTGCAAAATGATAAAACTTTTTAAAGGTCACATACAAATGCCTGGATTTGGGGAAAGAACATGTTCAAGATTTGCAAGCAATCTATTTAAGAAATTCTATATTCACCAAAATAGTGAACAGAAATTTCAGTGTGTCAAAACAAGGACCACTTTAATTTTTCTTTTACAAAGACATCACTTCTCCAGATGACCTCTATAAAATGCAGCATTCATTTCATCCCAAAATTCTCGACATGCAGCCAACCTGTCAAATGTTAGACTGGCTCATACATTTTTTTCTTGACTACTTCCCATGAATTCTACAATCTGATTATGTAATTTGACCTTGCCTTCCAAATAACATATTCAACACATTTTCCTACTGGATGTATAATCAGAATGTTCTACAGAAATTGTAGGGAAACATGATGCAAACGTTTGAGAGAATATTCAGCAAGTTAACTATATCTGACTATCAGGATAGTAGTAATACAAACTATTTCTACATTTTTTAGGAAAAAATGACATAAAAGCATAGCTATTATTCATTTACTATAGACCTTGATGCAGTTAAAAATAAGATAAGCATTCCAGAACAATCATTCCCTTAGATGTTGTAAAATATGAACAGCTTATATAGAAAGGACCTTTCCAAATTATTCTAGAAGAATAGAACTCAGTCATTTTACATCATATGTATCATTTGCTTAGATCAGAGCTTGTGCTAAGTCTAACTTCCTATAATGTAATTTATTTCTGAAAATTTGCCAAGATGCTGCGCTCAACCATTACTTCCATTCCTTTTTGACATCAACTCCTGCACCATGCCTTATGTTTCTAAATTAGGTTGAACATTATCATGTAATCAGACATTCAGATGAGATTTATTAAACATTAATTATGAAATGAAGTGATCTCAGAGCCATGAAAAATATTAGTGTTACAAAAATGGAAAGAGGCAGTCTCTGCTATTAAGTATAAATACTAGTTAGAGAAACAAAAACCGTAAACATGGAAAAACTTTAACAGACTGTAAAAAGCAACTTGCAATTTAATATAAATTCATTAAAATAGCAGTTGAAAAATAAGAAAATAGAAATGAAAAGGTAGCACATTCTCAATGAAAGGCTCAAATATTGGCTTGTAACTTATTTTTTCATGGTTTTTTTAATTGTTTTTGTTACCACCATCTCTTACAACGCTTCCACCCTGTCTCCATCTCCCCTCACTGTCAATGTCAGAAACCTTATTTCTTTATCGTCACTAGCTTTTAAAAGTATTTTGTTTTGTCGAATTGTCCACTATGTTAATGTCTAGTATCTGTCTTTGTCATTCTGATTTGCTTTACTACACATAATTCCCTTGAGCTCATTCCATTTTGCTGTAAAGGACAACACTTCAACTTTCCTCACAGCTGAACAGTATTCCATAGTGGTGGTATACATCTTCTCTATCCACTCCTCTATTTGTGGGCACCTAGGTTGTTTCCATGTCCCCGCTATTGTATATAATGCTGTAATAAATATTCGTGTAGTTTTTTTGAATTGATAGTTTCATATTCTTTGGATAGATACCTGCAGAGTAAAAGGAAGTTATCAAATTGTTTCCACCCTCCCGCCAATGATAGACACCCATGGTCTTACACGCAAGCCTGATGGCAGCACCTGAAGTATGGTGCGAGTGTACGTGAGTGGGCACACCTGAGCCAAGAGGCAGAGCATATAAGGGGGTAGCAGGGGACGGAAAGGGGCAGAGGACCATGTGGCTGAGTGAAATAGAGACCAGCGAAAAGACCATGAGAGAACGCCAGAGAGCCCAGAATGAGTAAAGATAAGCTGGGAGCTAGAAGGACTGCAAGCCTCTTGGTTTGCAGCCCACCCTGCACCTGGTTACCTCTTACCACAAATGGTGTAGAAAGATCATTAAAGGCCTGAAAAAGCCACGGAGGGCTCTAAGCCTCTTCTTTACCCATCTTCCCGGATCCATAAAGAACCTGCCCTGTGCCTTCCTGGCATTACAATACCCAAGAGTTGAACAGCTGGGGCATATGGTATTTCCATTACCTCTGGTGAGCATTAGGGATTCAAGCTTCCTACTGTGCTGTGGGGAGCAGAGTTCTGTGGTGGGGCTCCACAGTGACCCTCTCCTCTAGGTCACTGCTCATCCCAAATATCTTACTGGTCTCATGCCAACCTCAACCTCCAGGCTATGCCTGAGCACTAGATGCCATGGTAGGTGTGAACTGCCATTGAGACAGGGTATCCCTTTGCTTTCCCAGTACAGTCTTACCCTGGAATACTTGCTCCTGTGGTTAAGATCCAGGTGCTTGCTTAAACTCTGGTTAGTGAAAACATACAGTTGTCTCTGTTTGTCCCTGGGAGAGGGGAGGAGGTGGCAGGTGTTTTGAAAATCACAGCCTCAGGCTGCAAATAACATCCTTTCTATGAGGAGACACAGGTGATCCATCCTGGCTCTCCCTACTGGATGGGGCACCAGCTGTTCCATATTGGGAGCCAGAGGCTCAATTCAGTAATCATCACTCTGCACTCTAGCTCCTAAAGTTTTCCAATAGTGCACCCCCTATCCTGGACTCCAAATCTTGATACCTCCTTATTCAGTGCAGTGCTGGGTCTCAAAAATCCCTGACATGGGCATGTGCCCCTGAATCAACAATTGCAAAAGGGCTCCATGAGCCAGGCTTCCATCCCCCTCAAGAGTTGTGTTGTACCAGTATCACTGCACAGTTCAATTCTAGTTTTACTACCTCTTTCCACTGGATTGTTGGTACTAACAGATGTAGATGCTGTAGTCATCTATTTATCTTTCAGGGGTTACTGACTATAGTGACAGGAAGGCATAGGGCAGGTTCCCTATGGACCTGGGCAGACAGGTAAAGGAGAGTCCTGGAGCCCTCAGTGGCTTTTTCAGGCTTTTAATGATCTTTCTACACCATTTGTAGTGAGGTAACCAGGTGCAGGGCAGGCAGGGAGGCCTGGGGGCCAGGAGGCTGGTAGGCCTTCTAGCCCCTGGTGAATCTTTACTCTTTCTGGGCTCCCTGGCATTCTCTCATGGTCTCTCCGCTGGTCTCTACTTCGCTCAGCTGCAAAGTCCTCTGCCTCTTCCAGTCTTCTGTTACCCCCTTATATGCTCAGCCTCTTGGCTCAGATGTGCCCTCTCACGCCCGCCTGCACCATACTCCAGGCGCCGCCATCAGGCCTGCATGTAAGACCACAAGTGTCGATCACTGATGCTAATGGTGGGAGGGCAGAAAAAAACCTGGTAACTTCCATTTTCCCTACACTGACTTTACTCTGCTATTTAATTGTGACTATATGGAGGAGGCAAGCCCAGCATCTTCACTTTGCCACCATCTTCCCACACTCCTAGATGTGTAATCTGGAAAAAGTTTCCTAACAATTCTGTAACTCATGCGCCTCAATAGTAAAATGTGAATCACATTAACACATATTAGGCAGTGTTGGTTAGCTGCTCAACTCTTGTCGCCTTCAGCAATAGTCAGGTTTTGTTGTGAAATGTTTGCCCATATATAGACTCCATTTCTCAGCTCTATTGCAGCCAGATGTGGCCATGTTACTACTTATTGCTGATGGAGCCTGAACAACAATATTGTTTGTCTCTTCTGAGCCAAGTTATTAAGAAGAGAACAATATTCCTGCATTCTTTTTTTCTAATCCCCTGAGCTGGAGGCAGATGAATCGCTGCAGGAACTACAGCTGCCCACCTACCAGAATTTAACTATTTAACTGAAGCATTGGGTTTGAGCCATTATTTAAAGGTGCTCACGCTACTCAAACTAATACAAGTGACCTAGGGTTATTGTAATAGCTTAACAAATAGCCTCACCTATAGTAAAAGTTTAATAAATGTAATCAGCAATGCTTTTCTTGATATTTACTTTGTTGCCTTATCAATCAATTCTTTCTATAAAATAATTTTAGTTATCTTTAAATTGAGAGAATATATATCCAACTTTTAACACTTTTATTAGTATGCCATTTGATACATGAATTATTTCTTATTATCTCAAGAAAACAAATTCATCTGGCAATACAAAAACCACCAGGATTT